AGTGGTGCTGCTTGGGGTGTTACTCCAGTTTATGATCTCCACCATCTTTAACATTCTGCCTCTACAATTACTAGCATTGCTCAAGTCAAATGTGCTCTAATTCACTAACATCACTGGACTAGGGCACTAGCAATATTTTCGGTTCTGTGTACCACATCTGGTTCCAACTGGGACTCTAAATCCAACCTCAGCCCCAAGGGATAGATTCACCATACAAGTGACTTCTAGAATCCTGAAGTCAGTCATTCTCATAAACCCCAAGCTTTCAAAACACAGGAAAATCAAATAAAGGGGGCTGTATATTTCCCAATGAGTTAATCTTCAAATACCAATGACAAACGGGATTTTGTTAAGTTTACAAAAATTTATCTACTCCTAAATATGTGCCAAGAATCAGGCAAGATGTCCTAAGAGTTTCAGAAATAACCCATAAGGCAGGGTTCTTGCTTTCAAAAGTTCATCTTCTTGAGATACTGAGACTCTAATACAAACGAGACAAGGCTTTTAAGTGGTATAATCATAAAGAAGTGATTAATATGAGCTAGATATTTGGACTAACTGATCTTGGTTTTCTTTCTTATCTTTAATCTCTAGGAATATGTGAGATAGGAAAGGCCAAAAACAAAACAAAACATTCTTTCTGGTTGTAAGAGCCAGTGTCTAAGATGGCCCCCAGTGATCCTTGCCCCCTGGTATTGACCCTCTTGTATAATTCCCCTCCTACAATGAATAGGGCTGACCTGTGATACCAATAGGACACTGCAGAAATGATGGTGTGTGACTTCTGAGTCTTGGTCATAAAAGACATTATGGCTTCTGCCTTGCTCTCTCTTGGATTACTCACACTGTGGGAAGCCAGCTGCCAGGTCACGAGAAGACTCAAGCAGTCCTATGGAAGATCCTTCTGGTAAAGAACTAATGTTTCTTCCCAACAGTTAGCACTCAATTGCCAACCATGTGAGTCACCTTGGAAGTGGAACCTCTGGAACTTTAAAAGACTGCATCCAAGGTCAACCTCTTAATCACAGCCTCGTGAGAGACCAGAACCACCCAGCTAAGCTATTCTTGAATTCCTGACCCACAGAAACTATATGAGATAATAAACATTTGTTGTTTAAAAAAAAACACAAGGGAATAACAGGAGATGAGGATGAAGATGAACAGGTAGACCAAGGCCAGATCATAGAAAACCTTCAGGCTTGGATTTTATCCTGCTAACCAGGATTTTGTAAATTGTGCTCCACAGTGATTCCTAAATGAAATCGGATAGGAGAAAGGGGAGCAAGAAGTCCTTAATGGGTTGGGCTCAACTCTTCCCTAGTCAGAGAAGCTTCCACTTATATTTATACTTCTGGGTAAAAATTTCATTTGAAGAAAGGATTAATTGTATAAAAATGTTTGAAAAGCACTTCTGTAGGTGATGAAGAGTCACTGAAAAATTTGAAGCAGGAGAGAGACACAACGTGCACCTGAGATCATTCAGGCAGTAGACGACAGACTGGAGAAGAGCAAAACTAGAAGTGAAAAAAACAGGTTCAGAGGACATTTCAACAGCTTGAGCAAGCGATGTGGGGTACCAGAATGATGGCAGCCTGGCAGGGCTGAATGAGACGAGGCAGCCACAAGAGTGACCAGGAGGGAGAATCGACAGTACATGGTGAGTGACTGGATGTGTGCAGGGGATGGTGGGGGGCGGGGATGGATAAGACCAAGACAGGACTGGCTCCCAGATTTTTGCCTTGGGCCACTGCATGAATGGTGGTACCACTGAAGGAGGAGGGAAAAGAAAGAACTGTTTGGCTGATAGCAACAGAGACCCAAATACAGAGGTTTCAACACAAGAATTCGTTCTCATGTAAAATAAGTCTAGAGGAAGGTAGTTTCTGGTAATGGTTGAGATCCAAGGGTAGCATGGCAAAAACTGCAATTTTTGTGGCCTTCCCTTTCCACTCCCAGGATGGTCACTGGTCCTCCAATTATCATGTCCATTTTCCAAAAAGCAGGAAGGAATAAGAGAATAAAAAGAACTTTCCTTGGAAGCCTCATGCAACAGCTTCTACTTCTATCCCTTCTACTTGGCAAAAGCTAAGTTGCAGTCAGAATCTTAGGGGGTTTTGTGGAGTCGGGGGAAGCTGGAATATGTATCCTAACTGCACACACACTGGTATACAGGCAGGTAAAACAGAAGCGTTAGTGTGGTGCTGAATGAACCCATCTGTGGTATCTTCCACATTAGAGAAATGATGAGTTTGGCCTTGGTCATGTTGGATCTGAGGTAGAACATCAGGTAAGAGGTAGAATATGCAATTAGATGTACAGTTCTGAGCAGAGGAGAGAAACAGATCTAGATTTTGTGCGTCATCAGCATATAAGTGTAACTGAGGCCATGAAATGGTGGTAATGTCCAAGGAGAGTATAAAGAGACAGAGGATAAAATCAAGGTCAGAACCCTGGGGAATGCCAACATTTAAGGGGCAGGAAGAAGAAGAATTCAGAAGAAAAGCCAAAGAAGTAGCAGAATCGCAAGAGTAGCTTCACAGAAATCAAGGAAGGAGACAGCATTAAGGGAAGAGTGGTCAACAAAGATACAGATTTGCAAATGGGGGAGTGGCGGACCAGGGAAAGAGGGTACCAGGGAACAACAGAGTTAAGGGAGAAGTTTACCATGCCTTGTTCGTAAACTCTGAGAACTCTGTGGCCCAACAAAGTGACTTGGTCAGAGGCCACTGGCCTGGGCAATACCTGGCACTAAGCCTGGGCCCAAAGCTGGCTCACTTCCAGGATCAGGTTGACTAGATTCCAGGGTTGCCACTTCAGCCTAGGGCCACCTGGTTTCCTGGCCCAGACGTGACGGCATCTGCCTTATAGTGCTGTAGGGGCCTATGGCCTAGTTGTGTTGTTAGATTACTTTCTGTATTAACTGAATAATATATATTCATGTAATATATATTATTTAGAATTATTATATATGATTATAATTATAATACATGTAATAAATACTTTAGAGATCCTAAAGATGATAATTTTCAAAATCAGAAACATAAATAAAGATTAACAGAGGAGCAAAAAGTACAAGAGAATGGATTAGTTTTAGATAGGGCATGTTATTTATCAACCTTCCTTTATACTACAATGGAGGACTTCCCAATGTTTCCTGGAAGGCCTTCTTTTGTGACATTCACATGTTTTATAATCTGTGCCCCCATCTGTACCTTGTATACAACCAATTTTCTCTTCAACTGCATAATTCTAGAAGCCCAGTTGTTACAATGACACCTGACTTACTATTGAATGTCACCTAGCAATAGTTTATAACTGTTTTCATTAGTGTGAGCTGATAATAGTTTGGTTTCTTAAATAAACACAGCTAGATGTCAGCCTGTAGCTTTTTCCGGTTCAACACTAGAATATAATCTCTACAAGGGCAGAGTTCTTTGCTTGTTTACTAGTTTTACTGGTTTAGACTATGTCCCTTAAAAAGTCATGTCCTTCCAGGAACCTCAGAATGTGACCTTATTTGAAAAGAGGATCATTGCAGATATAATTAGTTAAGATGAGGTCTTGTAGATGAGCAGAAATATGCCCTTAATTCAATATGACTGGTGTCCTTATAAGAAGAGAAGAAACAAGGAGACAGAGACACAGGGAGGCCATCTAATGATGCAGACGGTGACTAGAGTGATGCATCTACATGCCAAGAAAAGCCAAGTATTGCTGGCAAACACCAGAATCTAGGAAGGGGCAAGGAAGGCTCCTCCCCTAGAACCTTCAGAGAGAACATGGCTCTACTGACACCATAATCTCAGACTTCTAGCCTCCAGAACCGTGAGACAATTTTTGTAGTTTTAAGTCACTCAGTGTATGGTACTTTATTGCAGCAGCCCTAACAAACTACTCTACTGGTATATCCCAGTCTTCTAGGACTGTACCTGCAATACAGTAGGACCTCAATAAATATTCGCTGAATGAATGGATGGACTTTTAAATTCCCTAGGATGACCCCTCCTGGGGCATTTGGTACCTATTGATGACTACCCACCTCCCTCCCTTCTTGAAACTCTCTCCTGCCTGTTTTCCACATCACCAGGTTCTACTGATTCTGTTCCAACTATTTCGTCTGCTTTTCAAACGCCAGTGCTTCCTGGGATTGTATCTTCAGTCCTCTCTTCTTGCTCCACACAATTTCTATGTAGTTGTATCCTTTCCCAGATTTCAATTCCCTATATATACCAAGGACTCCCAAATCTAAAACAGATCTAACCACGCCACTCCTCTGCTTTAAGAAAAAAAAAAGGTCATTGCCTAAAGATAAAGTCCAAACTTGTCTACTTCAATATTGCACTCTGTCCTCACCCCAGGATGCATCCTGGAGAGTAACCTGGGCTCTAGACACAGGGACTATTTAAATTTCCATACCATATTTGATGTTTTTAATGCTTCCACAGTCCTTCTACCTGGAATGCTCCTCATCTACTTGGTGACATCCTAGCACAAGGGCAAATACAAATGCCACCATCATTTGGTGTTTTTCCTGACCACCACTCAGGCAGGATGACCTGCTCCTGTCTGTTTTCCCACAACCTTCTGTTCAGCACATCAGTATTTTATCATATCACAATATGGAGCACGTTCCCTTGCTGAGCCATGAGCTCTTCAATGGGAAGAACAGTACCTTATTTATCTTCACAGATGACAGCTCACTAGCTCAGTGCCTGGCACATGGTGTGCTCCAAGAGATTACGGGTTGAATGAACTCATTCTATTCACAAAAAAAACCAAATTACAGCTATCAAATGGCAATAGAATCACATCTAAGCACTATTTCAACAAAGCACAATAAAGATATGGCTGCATTAATGGAATTTACTGAACTACCACAAATATCAAAGTATGGGGCCTAAAGATTGACCTGTACAATACTAGATGGGGTGTTCATATTCTGCAATAACTAGACCCCCACACAACAAGGAAATCCTAGACAGAGAACATCAACCTCTTACCTTCGAAGATACATGGTCTCCTCGTCTTCTGTGTTACAAAACTTGTGGGCGTGTTTGGCAGCATCAATCACACGGGACCGATCCCGGGGCCTCATGGGTAATTTCTCTAACTGACAGTCTAAAAGAATGGAGAAAAATCTGGTCACGAGAGCCACTGAAAATTACACTGAGGCAATCAGAAGTTTTCAGTGGGGCCCTTGGCACTGTAATTTTTACCATGATTATTATGCTTATTGAAGCCTGTTGTTGAATTTTCCAACTAAAAATGACTTGGTGTCAGGAGACCTGGATTCTAGCCCCAGCTCGGTTACTGGTGATCTTTGGCAAATTGCTTCCTCTTTAGGGGTCTTTTTCCTTATTTGATTATCTCAAAAGTCTTTCTCAGCACTGCAATTCAAGTTTTCTATGAGTATTTCTGATCATGATACACTTGGTTTGTGTTATAACGCATTAGAATGAGAAGAGACAATCGAGTGTCCTGGAAGGCCTATGAGGAAGGCATTGCAGAAGGTGGATAAGTGCTCAGGAAAGGAGAGAGGGGGTAGCGGTATGCTATATATGACATGTGAATGACTCATCCCAGTTAGAGGAGTTTCAATCCAAAAACAATGAAAACATACAGGAAGCAAATTAGGTACAGTTATAAAGCAGATGGAAAATTGCTATAGTGCAAATTAAATATCTAAAGGATGATAGAGAAGTTAAGTGATCAGAGTGATTGCAAAATCATGGAGGAGGTGAGAGGGGAGGTGGCAGTTTGCATGTCAGCTCACGACTCTTCTCCATGACCTGCTGCAGTAGACACTTACTATTCCTAGCTTAAAGGTGAGGGAATTGAGGTTTTGGAAGGGTATGAGATCAGCCACACATTTAATAAGTAGTAGAACAAGAACTCAGATTCATCTCTAGGTGATCAAACGAGAATTCATTTATTCAAAAGATATTTGAGGGCCCTCTATGTACCAAGCACAGTTTGAATTTGTGCTGGGGATTCAGCAAAGACAAAGCAGACAAAGCTCCTGACTTGATGAAGTTTACAGTGTAGCGGAGGAGGCAGAAATTTTTTAAATAATAATTATATAAAGTGACCTTGGATAATGATAAGTGCTAATAAAAAATTACATGTGATATAAAGAGGATGAACAGTGATCCAGATACTGGTAAGTGCTACCAAGAAAAATCAGGCAGCGTAAAAGGACAAAGAGTGACAGGGGTGCTATTTTAGATAAGATAGTCAGGGAAGAGTTCTCTAAGGAAGTGACATTTCAGCAGAGACCTGAATAAAGTAAGTAAGCATGGAGGGGAGAGTGAAGCAGAAGAAATATCAATCCTAAAGGTCTTGGGAGTAGGAACATTTTGACATGATGGAGAAGAATCAAAAAGGCCATGGGAGCTGGAGTGCGGTGAGCAAGGGGAAGAGTGTTAGGAGATGAAGTCTGAAAGTTAGCTGGGGGTTTGATCACGTACAGTCTTGGTATGGACTTTGGTTTTATTTTTGGTGTTACAGGAAAACACTGGTTTGGAACAGGACTCTGGGGACAAAGAGTGGAGAGCAAGAGACTACTGTGACAATCCAGATGAGGGATGGTGGTGGCTTGGACTAGAGTGGTAGAAGAGGAGGTGGTAAGAAGTAGCAGATTCTGGATAGATTTTCAAGGAAGCACCTGCAGAATTTGTTGATGGATGGGAAACAGAAGTCAAGAATGACTCTGAGATACTGGATGAATAATAGTACCACTGGCTGTGATGGGGAAGTCTAAGAGGAACAGTGGAGACCAGAAAGTAGGGGGATCATGAAGTTAATTTTGAACATGGTCTCTTTGAGACATCTATCAGACATTCAAGTGGAGATGCTGAATAGGCAGTTGGAGTTTGAGAAGAGGTACAGTTTAAAGAGGAACATTTGGGAGTCCTCAACATATAGATGGTATTTAAAGGTATTTAAAGGGAATGGTTGAGATTACCTAGGGAGTAAGGACAGATTGAGAACAGGTGAGAGGGCTGAGCCCTAGGTCCCTGCAATGCCTAAAAGCCTGAGACAGAAAAAGAAGCCAGACACTGAGAAGGGGGAAAATCGAGGTAGGAGGAAAATCAGGAGGGTGTAGAGTCTTGGATGCAAATTAAAGTGTTTCAAGAATGATAGACTAATCATCTCTGTCAAATGCCACTAAGAGGATTAAATGAGCATTGATAATTGATCACTGGAAGTGGTAACACGTTCAGTTAGTAACTTTGACAAATATGGTTTAGATGATAAGGTGGGAAGGAAAGCCTGGCTGAAGTGAGGGCAACAGGGAATGGGAAATGAGGATGCAGAGGCAGCCCAGACAATTTTTTTAGAAGTTTCGCTATAAAAGAATCAAAGAAATAAGGGTATAGCTGGAGGAGAATGTAAGATCAAGGGAAGGTTTTATTTTCACTTAAGATGAGAGCTATTACAATATTGTTGTATCCGACAGAAAGGTTACAAAGTCTCTAGAGAGAGTGGGAGGAGAGGGAGTGTACTTTTTCTGAAGGAGGGATTTAGTTTTGAGGGAGGTCTGGATACAGAGTTACAAGGTTAAACAGACAACAGAAAATCTGCCCTGGAGTGGGGCGGAGATGTGTAAAGAGGATTCTGATGGAGAGGAAATCAGAGACGCGGCTCCCTGATCACAGCCAGAGGAAATTTGCGTTCCAGAACCCTAAGTTTCGCTCCTTGCAGACGCCTCCAGTTCCCGACTACTCACCCAGCACCAGGACCATCTGGCCGCACAAACAGTAGTAGACATGGAGAGGCTTCTCGCCGTCGTCATATTCCTCCCTGTCCCGAGTGTCGGAGCAGACTACGGACCGGGATACCACTTTAGGCATAGTTGAGAGGAGCAGCAGGAAAACGCAAAGCCAGAAATAAGGGTCGCGCAGAAATGACGTCATGCACGCGTCTGGGCTTTCCCCTACGGTAAGGCAGGTCACGTGTCTGTAGAAGTCAAGTGAGCTTCCGGGCGGTCCCATTAAGCTAAGATACACGGGGGACGCCCTGAGCCTTCTAGAACCTCCTTTTCCCTGCCCTGAGTTCGCTGGGACTGCTTTACTTGGTTCACACTTAATAATATAAATTATTCATTTATATTTCTATACACGTATGCGTATGTATATGCATAATACATAACTAGATATAACAAAGGTCTGTATTTACACGTTACATGCATAATACAGATTTTAGGTGTGCTTCTAAATATAATTTTGATTTTGATGGCTATATTCAGGATCAGTAACTAATGAAGTAGAGAAACATCTCTTAAAAGTTGAGCTCTAATTCACATAATGTAAAAAATTCACCAATTTCTGTGAGTTTTAGTATATTCACAAAGTTGTACAATCATCACCACTACTTAATTCCAGAATATTTTTATCATCCCCAAAAGAAATCCCCTATTTGTTAGTGGTCACTCTCTCCATCTCTTTCCCAGCCCCTGGCAATCCCTAATCTACTTTGCCTCTATGGATTTGCCTCTTCTGATACTTCATATGAATGAAATCATACAACATGTGGCTGTTGGTGTCTGGCTTCTTTCACTTAGCATATTGTTTTCAAGGTTCATCTGTGTTGTACCATGAATTAGTAAAAGGTAGTAATAAGTCAGTAAAAAAGAACTCCATTCCTTTTTATGGCTGAGTGATATTCTGTTGTATGAATATACCACATTTTGCTTATTCATTCATCAATTGGTGGACATTTGGGTTCTTTCCACTTTTTGGGTATGATGACTAGTACTACTATGAACATTTGTATCCAAGTTTTTGTGAGAACATATGTTTTTATATTTTTGTGAGGACATATATTCTCTTGGGTGTATACTTAGGAGTGGAATTGCTGGGTCATATAACTAACTTTTTGAGGAACTGCCAAGAGTGTTTTCCAAAGCAACCTTACCATTCTACATTTACCACCAGCAATGTATGTGCGGTTCTGATTTTTCATGTACTCATCAATAATTATTTTTGCCTTTTTATCATAGCCATCCTGGTAAGTGTGAAGTGATATCTTATTGTGATTTTGATTTGCCTTTCTCTGATGGCTAATGATACTGAATACCTTTTCACATGCTTATTGGTCATTTATATACCTTCTTGGGAGAAATGTCTATTCCAATCCTTTGCCATTTTTAATTGGGTTATTTGTCATTATATTGTTGAATTGTGAGAGTTTGTCATATATTTTGGATTCTAGAACCTAATCAGGTAAATGATTTGCAAACAGGGGGCATCTTAATGATCCTGTTTGCCATAAGTATTGAAAACATCTTTCACCTTTCCTTCCCCAACCCAGAAACTCTCCCAGAATGCTCTTTGTAGGGGACAGGAGCCTGGGGCAATCTAGAATAAGGACATTGAGACAGTTTACATTGGATAATTTCAAGTGATGACACCAAAATAGTGGCTTTTTAACAGAAAACTTACTGAGGAAAGCAGGACCAGAAAATTGACAGGTTGGCTGGAAGAAATGTAGTGTTCAAGATACACAAGATGTAAACCAATGGGAATTTAAAGCAATCTGCTAGCCCCCAAATGAACATGACTTAAATAAAGTATAAAAGAAATATCAATTCAAGTCCTAAAGAATTAGTGTTTGCTCTTAGGTCTTAGTCCAATGTCATCCCTATGATTCTGTGTTATTCAGTATTTATTGAGCTATGTGTCAGGCACTGTGCTATATACTGGTTGCATAGTGATCAATTAGAAATAGTCTCACTCCCTCATGTGGCTTAGTCTAGTGCAGTGGTGGATAAAGGGCTAGAGAGTAAATATCTTTGGCTTGGAAGGCCAAGAGGCAAAATCAAGAACATTATGTAGGTACTGATATAACAAGAGAAAACAAATTTCCACAAATGTTTTCTTGATGAAATTCAAACCGTAATAATAATTTAGTATAATTTTTTGTAGTATAGATCCACTAATGAGAAGAATGGCATTCTTTTATGGAGAGGATAATATTTCACTTAATTAGAGTTCATAGTGAGTGTTTCCTGACATTAAAATCAATTGCAATCTCAATACACCTTTAAAAGTTTTTAAATTGTTTCAATTGGTCAAGCTGAGATTTTTAAGAACCTCATTTTTAATCTGTAATAAAAGTTTACAACTTAAGTTTTTCAAGAGTTAAGAAACTGCAAGCACCTGTTAATAAAGGTCATAATAAAAAAATCAGTTACAAATATTTCTGTTAATGCTTATCTGTAATGAGATTTTATGTATTTCATCTTTGAAGAAAACCTTAACACAAAGTACTGCCATGTACTGATATCAATCCATGAGCATCTGAGTTTTAATTGAGCATATTCATCTCTTAAACAGCACTCACCAAATTCTATCAGATTCTTCTCTTATTATTTGCCTTTTAGCATGTTGAGTAATCACTTCCAATTGAAGTTTCAGTGGAAACTTTCAACTGCACAATTAAATTATTTTTTTTAATTTAAATATAGTCAGTTATAATGTGTTAATTTCTGGTGTACAGCATAATGTTTCAGTCATACATATACATACATATATTCATTTTCATATCCTTTTCCATTATAGGTTACTACAATATATTGAATATAGTTTCCTGTGCTATACAGAAGAAATTTGTTTTTTAAACTATTTTAAACATAGTGATTTTGTTTTTGAAATATAGAAATTTCCTTTGCACTTGCATCAATGTCCAAAAAACACCACTGGACCTATAATCCAATCTTAGAAAATATATCCACTGCAAATTTGTATGGGAATGCAAATCTTTATTTTTGTTTTAACTTTCAACAGACAGGAAGTGATTAAGTGTCATTACTTTTGATTCAAAAAATGTTTGTTGTCATTGAAATGTAAAATCTGTAGTATAAGTTTCACATATAAGCAGCATTTTGCTTTGTAATTTTAGGTTAAATTTATTAAGTAACATTATTAAGTCTACCGCAAAAGCTAATTCCATTCAGTATTCAATTATAGTGGTTGGGGTGGTTCTTCTGGTTCAGAAAATTTTCAGTCCCAGCCATGAGCTATAAAACTAAACAAAACAAAACAAAACAAAAACCTCCCCAAAAAATCCCTTTACCACTGCTAAGCTATTGAACTGCTGTTGGTAGGGCAAGTCAGAATATTCAGCTTCTATTTCTGACAAAAATTCATGAAACTGGCAACGGTTTAGTCCATAAGATTGAATGAAGTTCACCGTTGACACGAATGGTTAAATAACACAGGATAGATTCAAATATTTTCCTGCAAAGTACCTGCTGTTAAATAGTACAACGAATAGCTATAGGATTTAAACAACTTAGATTTTCACAAACTTCGTACATTAAGCCTTTTTCTGCTTCATATTTATTTGTAATGCATCTTAGCAGACTCTACTCCAGGTTGTATTGAATTAGTGGTTTCTTGACTTTTTTAAAAATATTCTCATCTGCAGTCATCTATAGACTATCCATACAGGCTAATTCTTCTGTCACACTAAACTCAACGTGGACTCTTTGAGTAAACAACAACTGAGCGGTATTAAGATCTGTTAACTTATCAAAAACCAAGGAAAACCACTTGAAAATCATTTGCCCTGTTTTTTAAATGACTTGATGTTATTTCCAATGTCCTCAGCTTTTTGAGCCAGTGTTCTTGCTGAAAGCCTAACAGTCTTTTTTAAAGTTTTATTTATTTTGTTTATTTTTATTTGGGGGGGTGTAATTAGGTTTACTTATTTGTTTTTAGAGAAGGTACTGGTGATTGAACTCAGAACCTTGTATATGCTAAGCATGCACTTGAGCTATACCCTCCCCCACAACAGTCTTTAAAAAGTTGATTTCCCCCAGGACACATGTCTTTGGCTTCTGCAATCAAACATGATTTAATTAACTCACCATCAGTAGATGGCTTTCCTTGCTTGGCTAACAAATGAGCCACTCAGAAATTTACTTTGGCTGCAATCACATTTTCATTTTTTTTATCTTTGTGAAGAATTCTGCTATGATAAGATATTCTATTTTAAACTTTCTAATTTTTCTAACCATTGCTTTCCTGTGAGCCAGGAAGATTGTGATGAGTGCTTATTATGGTGATGTCAATGTATATTGTATTTTTTAGCAAAGCTATAGTGTCATTGTGTAATAAACACAATGTTTGACATCTAAATTGATGACCAAGTAATCTACACTCCACTGTACCTTAAAAGTACAACATTCAAAATCCACTTTTATTTTCTTGATTTGACGTGATAGGTATGCATTTGTGATAAAAAAATTATTACACAACATGGTGATACAAGTAGCACCCAAAACTTTGTCGAGTTATAACTGCATCACTGTGATTTGTAGTGTACCGGCCAACAATGGGAAGTGATGAGGGCACCACCAACAGTTTCTGTCACAGCTTTGCAACTCTGCCATTACAGCACAAAAACAGCCACAGAGCATGGCTTTGTCCCAGTGAAACTTTATTTATGGTGATTGAAATTTGAATTTCATATCATCTTCATGTGTCATGACATATGATGAAATACTATTCTTCTTTTGACTTTTTTTAAAAATTTAAAAATACAGGAAACCATTCTTAGCTTGCAGGCCATAGGGGAAAAGCTGCCAGGCTGGATTCATTTGTAGTTTGCTGGTGAATGTAGCTGGTTTGATTGAATTCCCACGTGCAACACCATAGCCGTATATATTGGTTTCCTATTGCTGTTGTGACAAACTACTGCAAAGTTAGTGGTCTAAGAAAACCCAAATTTATTACCTTATAGTTCTGGAGATCAGAAGTCCAAAATCAATCTCACTGGTCTAAAGTCAATTATGTCAGCCGGGCTGGTTGCTCCTAGAGGCTCCAGGGGGAAAGCCATTCTCTGTCTCTTCCAGCTTCTAGAGGCTGCCAGCATACCCTGGCTCCTCAGCTGGTGGCTGCATCACTCCAGTCTCTG